AGCTGCAGAACCGTGTGTGTGTGTAAAAGCATATGCTGATTTTGATGTTTAAATTGTATTCTCAATAAACACGGCGTATTGCCTTATCCCCTTGAAAAAGATTCCGTGTGCTTCTTATAAGCATAACACATGTATTGATCTCACTTATAACCTCTGTAGCCCATGGTATAAAGTTATATTGAGTGTTTGCATTGTAAACATCTGCTATTGTGTAACTCAGGGCAGGTCTACACTGCATTGGTGTAGCTGCACCGATGCAGCTATGCTGCTGTAGCACTTAAATGAAGACTCCCCTACACTGATGGAAGAGAGCTCTCCCGTTGGCATAGTTAATACATCTCCCCGCTAAGCTCTCCGGTTGACATAGTGCTCTCTACACAGGGGTTAAGGTCAATATACTATGTCACTCAGAGGTGTGGATTTTTCACATTCCTGAATAGTGCAGTTATATGGACATAGGTCTGTAGTGTAGAACTGGCCTCAAACAGGAAAAGAAGTATTAATTAATGTAAAGTGCTAGTCCTTCAGACAAGAGAGCCTTTGAAACCAAATGAGCCATTGTAAGACATCAAAAGGACAAAGACTGTTGATTGCCCTCCTGTAACGATGCTGGTTCTGGCGGGACCCAACTGAGAGTGCCAATTCAGGACAAATTGATAAAACAGGGCAGTCACAGCCCAAGGCTGGGGTTTTTCCACCTCTAAGGCAAACCAAACCAGCCAGACAAAGAAGACTTTGGTCTTACCCCACTGGCTAACCACAAGTCACACAAGCAATTCCCTTAGACACTCCAGTTTCCCAGTATCACCACCAGTGCCACTCGTTATGGGGACAAATGGTTATGAAAACCAATACTCCAATAAAAGAAAAAAGATTATCTCGATCCCGAAGGACCAAGCCCCAGACCCAGGTCAATATACAAATCAGATCTTACCCACAAATCACGCTGTTGCCAATCCTTTAGAATCTAAAATATAAAGGTTTATTCATAAAAGGAAAAAGATAGAGATGAGAGTTAGAATTGGTTAAATGGAATCAATTACATACAGTAATGGCAAAGTTCTTGGTTCAGGCTTGTAGCAGTGATGAAATAAACTGCAGGTTCAAATGAAGTCTCTGGAATACATCCCCAGCTGGGATGGGTCATTCAGTCCTTTGTTCAGAGCTTCAGTTTGTAGCAAAGTCCCTCCAGAGGTAAGAAGCAGGATTGAAGACAAGATGGAGATGAGGCATCAGCCTTTTATAGTCTTTTCTAGGTGTAAGAACACCTCTTTGTTCTTAATGTGGAAAATTACAGCAAAATGGAGTCTGGAGTCACATGGGCAAGTTCCTGCATACTTTGCTGAGTTACAAGGCGTATCTGCCTTCTCTCAATGGGTCAATTGTATAGCTGATGGTCCTTAATGGGCCATCAAGCAGGTTAGGCAGAGCTAACACCGACTTGTCTGGGATGTCTCCCAGAAGCATAGCTTAAGTTTGAAATACAGACAGTATAGAGCCAATACTTATAACTTCAACTACAAAATTGATACACACATATAGACAACATAATCATGACCAGCAAACCATAACCTTGTCTTAGACACCTCATTTGACCCCCTTTATACAAGATTTGGTGCCACTACAGGACTTTGGTTGCAACCATGTTCTATATGGTCCCAGTTCAAATCAATAACATGACACCTCCCCACTCAGATGTAGAGGAATCAGGAACCGACACTTGTTCTGTCAGTGTGGACTCTGGGGAGAAGGGGATAAAAATCCCTGACAAGGAGAAACTGGATCTTTATACATCTGGACTCTGAGAGGCAAGGATTCCTAAACATAAGCAAGCGATCCCCATGCTGCTTGGCATGGGTCAGTCCTAAAGCACATATAGAGCTGTTTATTATAGAAGCTTATATTACCTTTTTAAATCCAAGACTGTAACTCATTTGTGTCTGTATGTTTCTTGCTTTAACCTTGTAAATAACTCTTTTTTTTTTAGTTAATAAAACTTTGTTTTATTACACGATTGGCTATTGCCTTGATTTGAGATCAGAGTACAACTGATCTGGGGTAAGAGACTGGTCCTTTGAGACTGGAAGTAACGTGAATATTGTTGTGCTTTTTGGTATAAAGTGACCATCTGTCACATAGTCCAGCTTGCCCGCGTGACAAAATGGATTGGAATGCTCAAGGCGACCGTCTTTGACTCCATGGTAAGACTGTTATAGTGCTTTAGGAGTTCACACTTGTTACTGGGTTGGTGAAATGTAATTATAGAACAACCAGTTTGGGGCGTCTGCCCTGCTTTTTAACAGTCTGCCCTGAGGTGCCACTTTTGGTCAGGAGCCACTCCAGCCAGCGTGACACGAATACTAAAATAGCACTGAAGCCTCAGTCAAGGTCAGGCACCGTGCAACTACACAGTAAGAGCTACAAGGCACCTTAAAGACTAAGCCTGGCTTCTTGTTGTTTTTGTAGATACAGACTAACACGGCTACCCCCTGATACTTGACAGTAAGAGCTAGAGCTTACAAACTAGATATGAAAGATGAAGGGTAGAGGAAAAGGGGTACCTACAATTAAAAAGCAAAGCGATCAGGGAAAGGTTGGGAAAGCCATGATCTGAAGTTTGTTTTATCGACTATCTTATGGGAAACGGCCCAAGGTTGGTGGAGTGGATGAGTTGAGGAACGCATGGGTGAAGGAAAAGGAATAAAAGTACTGAGGTGGGAGGCAGGAAAAGAGAGTTAGGAGTACAGAGGGTTGGAATTATACAATGAGTTTTCCTTGCACAGAAGATCCACGGCTTTTTACATATCGTTACATGGCATAAATATAACAATGCATCCTGCCAATTTCAATGAATGCACACCACTACTTTGCATCCAGTAAATATATTATTAAAATTTTCCAGCTTCTTGTTAGGCAATTAGGTTGCTTGGTTTCACTTCTACAGCAGTTCTTCCCATATTGTAATGAATCATTTGTTTTGCAAGATATCAAATGTTCTTTCCTTTCCCAGCCACCTGTAAGCTGTGTTTTAGGGAACTTAATGTTAAATGGTTTACAAGGCAATCATTTCAGGAGTAGAGAAGAGCATTATTTTTGACTATTGTTGATCAGTGGAAATTAGTTGTGTGTCTTTCTTTCACTTTCTGTGCACTGTCTTCTCAATGAGACCCAATAAATAAATTTGCCAGAAGAGTAGTAGTTGAGTTACAGAATTCCTTATGATATATCCAGAACAATACAAGGACAATACCAAAGAAGGAAGATCTACAGATCACTTAAAGAGGCAGTGCCAAGAGAAAAGAGGTTATATGTAGATATATAATAAAATTTCAGGATTGTCACCTGGTTGTGGTCTGATCTACACTACAAAGTTAGGTGAACCTTGCCTTGCATCAACCTACACTTAAATTTGTCTCCCACCGAATGTAAGTGCCCCATTACAGAGATGCAGTAACACCACTTCCCCAAGCAGCAGTGAGCCATGGTAACATACTGGGGTTGAGGAACCACAAGCGTAGACACTGCATTACTTATGTCGACCCTATCAGTCCTCCTGCAGCTGTCCCATAATGCCTGACACTGACCACTCTGGTCACAATTGTGAACTCTATTGCCCAGGGGTCTGGAGACCTGAAGGCCTCCCGCCCCACTAAAGTCCTGGGAGTTTTTGAAATACCTTTTCATGATTGTCCAGCTTGGTAAGCACACCTACCAGCTCTCCATTGTTGTATGCAACTGCCTAGCTGACCATGCCAGCTACACGCCCAGAGATGCTCTGGCTTGGAGTAGACAGGAGGTATTGGATCTCCTGGGCCTGTGGGGAGAAGAGGCTGTGCAGGCGCAGCTACAGACTAGCCATAAAAATGTGGACACCTACGAGCAGATTGCACAGGGGATGCAGGAGAAGTGGTATGGCAGGGATCAGCAGCAGTGCTGCATGAAAGCAGAGTGTGGCAGGAATACCATAAGGCCAGGGAGGCCAACAGTTGATCCAGTGCCAAGCCTCAGACCTGCCGCTTTTACAAAGACCTGCATGCCATACTTGGTGGACACCCCATCACCCACAGACAACCTTGGATACCTTTGAGGAGCCCGTCAGAGGTCCCTGGCGTGAACAGCGAGAAAGAAGAGGAAGAGAGATATGTAGCTGTGGGGTGCAGCTATGCCGCAATCCAGAGCCTGTTTGAGATTTGCTTGCAGACCAGTGAATCCTGGCAGTTGAGCAGGGTAAGCCCAATGCGGGGGAAGGAACCTTGGATAAATGTGTAAATGTATTTCCCATTACGGTGATGTACTAATGAAGCCCCCAACTTAACAGGACACAGCTATCAACGTGTCATTAAATTTACTCATACTACAAAGAGAAGTAGAGTTGTTTATGTGCTTTTCATTTCCCTGTATAGTTAGGCAGGGTGGACCATGTGAAGCAGTTTGTTTATGTACACAGGGGTGTCCCTTGAATCCTCCAGAGAGATCTTGATGAAACTTTCATGGAGGTACTCTGCAATCCCCTCCTTATTTCTTCCTCTGAGGTAGGATGTTTTCCCATGCCAGTCGGTGATTACTGCAATGGTGCCAGCCCATGTTAACAGGCCAGCACCATATAGGCCTGAGCAGCTTCGGGCAGTCAGCAGCAGCTGTGCTCTCTGTGCCTTTGTTACTCTCAGGAGTGAGATATCTGCTAAAATCACTACCACCTGTGGACAATGGTGCCATTTTTCAGTGCCATTGCCATATACTCATGGTTTTATACAACTGAGCAATTCCTGTCTCATTTCCCTCACCTGTGGTGGGCCATGCTCACCATGTTTGGTGCTGTGAGTGGTGCCATGCACAAGCACTCCGAAGCAGAAGTGTCAATAATCATGTCTGGTTTAACACTTTAGGGGAGCGAGGGAAAGGAGTTCTGAATCTTAACGTTCACTTTCTTTGACACTAGTACCTCTGTGTGTTTTATCTGTAGCTGCCGCCATTGTGGCTTTGAGGGGTTCCCCCTCCACACTGATGGAATGGCTGTGTCAGATAAGAAGGAGAAAGAAAAGGTCTCAGGATAACATGTTCAGTGAGATTCTGCAATCCAGGGCTGCATCAGACTGTGAGCAAAGTGCCTGGATGGTGAATATTGCAGACTGTATTGAGAAGGAAAGAGCAGACAGGAGAAAGGCCGAAGAGTCACAACAGGAAAAAGAGAGGGAGATGCATCAGGATATAATGGGGCTTCTCCAGCAGCAAACACAGATGTTGCAAACTCTTGTGGCCTACTGGTTCAACAATCCCAGCTCACTTCCTTTTGCAGTGTTTGGAGAACTCCATTATAGCACCTCACTACATCACTTTCCCCCAGCATTCCACGTGGCCTCGGTGGCTGCATCCCTACCCTATCACTCCACCCCGGGAGCCATAAACAACCACAGCTTCACATGCACCGACCTATGAAAGCCCCGGTTGCTGTATGTGTAGCTAAAATGGACATGAACGTTCTTTCGCCCTGTTAAGTTCTGTTCTATTAATTGAGTAAATTTTTAATGTATTTGCTTTTAAATTGCACAGATTTTTCTTTGCACCAGTTTTGTTACTCAAATTCTATTATTTGGAGAATAATTCATCTTTATTAGTTCAGAACATAGGCTTCAGAGTCCCTAGCAGTACTGAAAGCAACCACTTACTGGTTTCCGTACAGCATGACACAAAACTCATAGAATCAGTGGCAAACAGTGTAATAATCATAAATGTACAGCAAGCACCACACATTTCCTAACAGGCCCCCACAATGCAGAGCCAGGCAGACTACAGTCCATCACAGTGCATGACTATGGCTCACTGTTAAAGTGCTCTTTCAAAGCCATCCTGAGCCATATAGCTCCATGCTGAGCTCTTGTAATCACCCTGGTGCTTGACTGTTCAAACTCAGCAGACAGCTGCTCTACCTCTACCGTCCACCCCAATGGCAACTTTCCCACCTGTGCTTCACAGATATTATGCAGGACACAGCAGGCAGCTGTAACCACTAGGATATTTTTTTCACTGAAATCCAATCTTGTGAGTAAGCACTGCCAGCATCCATTCAATCTACCGAAAACATATTCAACTGTCATTTTGCACTTGCTGAGTCAGTAGCTGAATCTTTCCTTGGTGCTGTCGAGGTGGCCGGTGTATGGTTTCATGTCCAGAGGAGCAAGGCATAGGCTGGGTCCCCCAGGATCACTATTGGCGTTTCAATATTGCTAATGGTAATCAGCTGGTGCTAAAAGAAAGTCCCTGCTTGTATCTTTATGTTCTTAAAGATATGAGAATCATACTCTTTCCTGACCAGCCAACATTGATGTTGGTGAAACTTCCCCAGTAATCCACCAATACTTGCATAACCAGAAAAAAGTAGTCCTTTCAGTTGAGTGGCAAGGTGGTCTGGTGCCAAAATAGGATACATGTCTATTGCCCCACGGCAGTTCAGGAACCCCGTTGCTGTAAATCCATCCACTATGTCCTGCACATTGCTGAGAGTCACAATCCTGCATAGCAGGAGGTAATTAATGGCCCTGCACACTTGCATGACAATTGCCCCGACAGTCAATTTTCTAACTCCAAAATGATTACCCACTGACTGGTAGCAATCTGGTGTTTGAGACCGCCACTTGCTTCTTCGCTCTCAGTGCAGCACTCATTGTGGTGTCCCTGCGCTGGAGGGCTGGAGCAAGCTCAGCACACAGATCCAGAAACGTGGCTTGGTACATCCGAAAGTTCTGCAGCCACTGCTCACCATCAGCCTGAATTACGATGCGATCCCACCAGTCAGTGCTTGTTTCTCGGGCCCAGAAGCAGTGCTCCGCCATCTGCAACTGCTCCATGAATGTCCCCAAAATACTTGAACTGATTCTTGCTATGTCCCACAGCAATCTGTCCTCCATAAAATTGTGATGTTCCCTGCTGATTCCGTTCTTCTTGCGGCTCTGCAAAAACTGGAGTATCGGCATGTGTTCTGTGATTGCAACACTTACAACAATAGTGCAGAGCTGTGCAGGTTCCATGCTTCTGTCAGAGATGGTGGACAGTGAGGAGGGCTGTGCAGATTCATGGGATTTTTTAAAAAGCTGTGAAAATTATGGGCTATGCATGACATTATGGGATGGAGAAAGTTGCACACTGGAAAGTTGACCCCTTGCTACCTGTTACCCCCATGACTCATTTTTTCCCTCACCACGCATTGCCAAAACTTCCCCAAAGACAGTGCACAGGATGGTGGTGGGTTGCACCCTGGGACACCTAGCTATGGTGCACTGCATTGTGCATTGACACACTATGCTTATGAAGTTGCTTATTTCCTACAGAAATCTTTTCCTTATTTCCCTTCTCTGGGCCTCCCTCTAGGACACACTATAGTAGTGAGCACTACTATGCTCACTACAGCAGGATCCTGCCTTTGTTCAGCTGCAAAGGGCTTGCAGCTAACAGCTGGAACAGTTCTGTCAGTGACAGTCACTCCACCCCCCTCCCTTCCTGATGAGGTGCTGCCCTCAACTGCAGTGCAAGAGACAGTCTCAACTCCACCCACACCTGGAAGCATGCTGCTTCACTTTGCTGCAGAGGAATCAAAGAGACTTTTTCCCTTTCCTTCAGCAATTCCTGGGACTTTACCCTTTTCCTCTGGGGTCCCAGCATAATATTCCTTCTTGCAGAGCTCCATGGAAAAAATCATTCCCAATAAGCATGTCAATGGGGATATTTTCATTCTCAACTGATGCTCACAGTCTCTCTCTTTTTCTGCTACCTGCAGTCTGTATAGCTCTAACTTTGCAACTGCATCACTCTCATCCATTTTTATGCCTTCCTGCTCCTATTTCCCTTTCCCAAAATAAGCAAACAGAAAATAACAGAAGTGTAACTTTTTTTTACTGTATTCAGCCAACCCACCTAAAATCTTGGCACCAGTGTATGAAGCGCAAATCTCACTCAGAACAACAAGCTGTGCATTTCAGTCTGCTCGCTGCACCACTATGACATGTCCCCGGCATACTACATAGACTGTGAGACCACTGAGTCCCATTACATTCTCCAGCCTGGGCTGTCTCTCACAATGCTATGCTAGTGACAAGCAATAAATCTCTCCAGATGCTATGATCACTCACCCATCAATATGTAGCTACACACACCCAGCTGAGTTGTATGAATGCTCTCTAAGCCACTCATGAACTGTATAAAGAGACACCAGCAAATGTCCCCAGCCCCAAGCCTTGCACTCCAGTAATGTGCCAGCTTACACTGCTCAAGACTCCCTAGACAGTGCAAGCTCATTAATTAGTTTGCCACTTCGTCAAAGGAAAGTGAACATGCACCAATCTTTGTAATCTAAGCTAGGGTTACCATTCGTCCGGATTCCCCCGGACATGTCTGGCTTTTTGAGCTAAAAATAGCGTCCGGAGGGAATTTGTAAATGTCCGGACTTCCCCCCCCCCATGCAGAGCGCGCGCGGCTAACAGGGCAGCCGGCCGGATGGTGCCACTTACATGGGGCTCCGACAGCCAGAGAGAGCCCCTCCTCCGCTTCCCCTGCAGCAGAGATGATTCCCTCCCTCCCTCCCTCCCTGCATTCGCAGATCGCCTCCAGCAGCCTGGAGCTCCTCCCCTGCTCCTCCTCCACTGCTGCCCAGCCTGCCGGGATGAGCGGCTCAGGCCGTTCCTGAGCAAGTTCACAGAGACGTTAGGCGAAGGCCAGCAACAAGGGGGCCAGGGGGTCGGAGAAGGGGCAGGGAGGTTTTGGAGGGGGCAGTCAAGAGACGGGGGGGGTCGGGAGTTCGGGGCGGGGGCTTTCTGGGGTGGGGTGGAGAAGGTTTTGGGCAGTCAGGGTACAGGTAGGGGGTAGGGTCCTGGGGGACAGTTAGGGTGGGGGGGTCTTAGGAGGGGGCAGTTAGGGGACAAGGAACAGGGAGGCTTAGGTAGGGGGTGGGGTTCTGGAGGGCAGTTAGGAGCAGGGGTCCCAGGAGGGGGCAGACAGGGGACAAGGAGCGGGGGAAGGGTTGGGAGTTCTGAGGGGGGCGGGAAGTGGGAGGGGCAGGGGTGGGGCTAGGGCAGGATGGGGGTGGGGCTAGGGCAGGATGGGGGTGGGACTAGGGCGGGGCTCCTCCTGTCCTCTTTTTTGCTTGCTGAAATATGGTAACCCTAATCTAAGCAGATTCCCCAAGCACTTCAACCCAAAACACACTGTTTTAGATAAAATATAAAAGAGATTTATTAACTACAGAAGGCTAGATTTTGAGTAATTATAAGGGGTAGGCATAGAGATCAAAGTTGGTTATATAAGAAATATAAATAAAATTTCAGCCTAAATTCTACAGACAAAGCAAGATTTGAATCAAGCAGTTTCTTGCCCCTCTAGACGTTCCAGCAGTTTACAGTTCTTATTACACAGACTGAATTTCCTTCTTACCCTGGGACCAATCTCCACAGTTCAAAGTTTTTGTCTTCCAAATTTCTTGTTGCCTTCAGAGTAGGTGGGGGAGGAGAGAGGCCAAGTGGTGATGTCATCAACCCTTGTTCATACTTTCTCTCCAGGTGCTAGAAAGATTCTTGCTGTGACGTGGGGGTTAGGTGGACCCCATTGTGTATGTGCCCTCTGAGGAGTCTCTGGGAGGGCCACTTGGGAGGGTAGAGTCTCCTTAATGGGCCATCAATGCCTGTCTGGCCACTGTTAGTTGCTCCTTTGTTATCACTGAAAGGCTAGCTGTGGGCGTTTCCCACTTACCACATATTTCAGTAACAAACATATAGCAATACTTCATAACTTCACATACAATGATAGAACACACAATTCAACAGGATATTAATGTTCAACAGATCAAGATTTTTTAAATGATCCCTCATAAGGCATGCATGGTACAAAACATTATAATCATATCACAGTGGTGAATATGGGGGTTCCAGGGTGCTATTTTGAGGTACAGAGTGCCACACCCTTTATTTGCCACTTGCACAAATCCACACAAATCTCCAGGCAAAAACCTCCTAGGCACAAATCAACACAACTATCCAAACAACACAACCAGCACACACAATAACCCCAAACACACAGAGCCCCTCACCACAGTACACCCCCCTCATTCACTAACCACACAACTCCCCCTGCACAACACATCCCACATGCAAATCAACACAAGGCAATACAATCAGCACACACAATAACCCCAAACATCACTCTGAAGCCTAGAACATCTGTTGAGTCAGTGTGAGTGATGGAAATGGCTACAAGCAGGGTTGAGAGTTCTTTAGGTTTAGAATACCAATGGTTCAATCATCACTGGGATTCTGTCTGTTATTATCCAATTTTTAAGTTTTCCATTGTTTTCAGTGCTTTTACAAATGACTTTACAAATTACACCCATGCAATAGAGTGAGCTTTCGGCTACTAGTATATATCAACTTTAGCTCACTTTTAGTAAACAAACTTTCAATTTAAACCATTAGATGGAAGGATGATCCTGTGATTAAGGTATGTGGAGTGGGATACTTAAGATTTGGGTTCAATTCCTGGCTCTACACAATCTGCTTGGGCAAGTCCCTTCGTCTCTCTGTGCCTTTCTTCTCCATTTTTAAATTGGGCATAACAACACTTCCCCTCTCCCTCCTGTTGTACCTATTTAGATTAGCGGCTTTTTCAGATAGGAGTTGCCTAAACAGTAACTATGTGTATACAAAGCTCCTAGTACAATGTGGCTCTGATCACAGATAGGGCCTCTGTGTACTACTACTGATGTTGATGAATATTTGCTTATGCATATCTGTAGCTATATATTAGGGCTGTCAATTAATCGCAGTTAACTCACGTGATTAACTCAAAAAAATTAATCACGATTAAAAAAATTGATCACGATTAATTGCATTTATAACAATAGAATACCAATTGAAATGTATTAAATATTTTGGGATGTTTTTCCACATTTTAAATATTGATTTCAATTACAACACAGAATACAAAGTGCACAGTGCTCACTTTATATTATTATTTTTGATTACGAATATATGCACTGTAAAAATGATAAACAAAAGAAATAGAATTTTTTAATTCACCTCATACAAGTACTGTAGTGCAATCTCTGTATCGTGAAAGTATAACTTACAAATGCAGATTTTTTTTGGTTACATAACTGCACTCAAAAACAAAACAGTGTAAAACTTTAAAGGCTACAAGTCCACTCAGTTCTACCTCTTATTCTACCAATCGCTAAGACAAACAAGTTTGTTTACATTGATGGCAGATACTGCTGCCAGCTTCTTATTTACAATGTCACCTGAAAGTGAGAACAGGCGTTCACATGGCACTTTTGTAGCCGGCATTGCAAGGTATTTATATGCCAGATATGCTAAACATTATAGACTCATAGACTCATAGACTTTAAGGTCAGAAGGGACCATTATGGTCATCTAGTCTGACCTCCTGCATGATGCAGGCCACAAAAGCCGGCCCACCCAATTTCCCTTATCTCTGCTGTTGAAGTCTCCAGATCGTGATTTAAAGACTTCAAGTCGCAGAGAATCCTCCAGCTTGAGACCGTTGCCCTATGCTGCGGAGGAAGGCAAAAAACCTCCAGGGCCTCTGCCAATTTACCCTGGAGGAAAATTCCTTCCCGACCCCAAATATGGCGATCAGTAGAACCCCGAGCATACAGGCAAGATTCTCCAGCCGGACCCACATTTTACCAGCGATGGCACGTTATTGCCTAATTGACTAAAATCACGTTATCCCATCAAACCATTCCCTCCATAAACTTATCTAGCCTAATCTTGAAGCCAGAGAGGTCTTTCGCCTCCACCGTTTCCCTCGGAAGGCTGTTCCAGAATTTCACCCCTCTGATGGTTAGAAACCTTCGTCTAATTTCAAGCCTAAACTTCCCCACGGCCA